TTTTCATGAGGGCAGCTTTGAGTATGACTTCAAATGTTATATATAGCTGTCAAGTTTTTTTCCTTAAATGTTAGTGTATTGATATATTTAACATTTTTAAAGAATACTAGTTATTTTAATTATAAGCATTATTGCCTATGTATTGATTTCTGTTTATTAAAAGAGCAACCACTTGTCATTAGGATAGTTTTTAAACCTTACTTATAATATCAAGTTAGAAATAATCATGTCTTAATAGCAAAACCTCCCCCAAAGTTTATTAGATGAAAGGATGTTGATTTTAAATGGTAAGTGTTGTATTCCTTTAAGTTTTCTCCTTTTAGTTATGTGTATTTAAAAATTGTTGGATTTAAAAAAATTTCTGCTTCCCATTATTTTGAAATCCAGAATTTCTTATGTTCTTGTTTTTAAAAATAGCTTTATCATGTACAACTTGTATGCTTATGTAGCATATTATGTTTACACATTTTAGAATTTTATGAAAAGGAAGGAATACTTTATGTAATTTTCCGAGATTTAAAAATTTTCATTCACCACTATATTACCAAGATTCACTTCTGCAGTTAACTCCTTTGCATTGCTGTATTTCATTGAGTGATTCTACTACAATTTGCTTATCCATTCTCCAGTTTATGAGTTTAGGGTTGGGCATCTGGTAAAATTCACCCACAGCAGCAATTTTGAGACAGCTTGATAAAATTATTTTAAAAGATAAAGAAGAGTATCCTCAATATTTTCAGGCAGAAAAATGAAATATCTTACAGGGGCAAAAGATTAGAGTAGTATCAGATTTCTCAAAAGCAACACACAAATCAAGGTAACCAAGTTTTTCAGGAAACTCAAGGAAATAGAGTATAGAGAAACCAAACATATGAATTAAACAAAAACAAAATAAAACTTGAAAATATAGGACTACGTTGGTGGTTGCTGGAAGGGAAGGGATGGGTGGTGGGTAAACTGGGGTCAGTTGGATGGCCAAGGACATAAATGGTAACCTTCATATGTTGATTTATCTTGTTCCTGATATTTATATGTTATATGCAATGTTTCTTAAATAAAACAAAATTTTAAAAAGCAGTTACATAGAAAATAAGTATCGGTTAAGGATTTTATATCATGCTAAACTGTCCTTCGATCCAAGGTTATAGAAAAAACAATTTGAATATGGCAAAACTCAGGTAATTTTGTATAAATGTGCCCATACTTGAAAAACCCACTTTTGTAGAAGCTTGCAGAAGTTATTTTGGTGAAGGTCTAGACAGGAAATAATTCAGACTTTGTAGGTCATGCCTTTGAAGCTGTACACAAATAGCTATATAAAAGACAGAAATGATTGAGTGTGACTGTTCCAGTGAAACTTGCTTTACAAAACAGTTGGTGGGCTGCACTTGATCTGTGGCTGTAGTTTGCCAGCTCTTCTCCTAGAGAATGATCTGCATTAAATGAAAAGATGAATGAAACACTTCAGGTAAAAGACTAATGGAGGACATTTCATGTATTTAATGTTAGAGGTAGGAATGAACAAGGGTGGAGATGCTGGTAGACGTATATTATGCAGATGTTATGTATTCTGCCCAGAAAGAATGCAATTAAAAATGGGATCAGGGAGAGGAGAAAGGGAAAGCGGGAAAAAACGACAAGGACTCTGTTGAACATGTAGGAAGCGTATCTTTTTTTTTTTTAATTTTTTAAAAAGATTTATTTATTTATGCATACAAGAGCTGGAGCACAGGCCAGAGATGTGGGGGGCTGGTGGGGGGAGGTGCAAGGATTAACCAGAGACAGAGTGGGGAACAGAACAGGCAGACTGACTGAAGTACACTGCTGGCCGGGGATCGAACTCGTGCTGCAGAGCCTGCAGATTGCTTCATGGTGCGGTGCTTAACCCCTTGTGCCACCAGGGAGGCCCAGAAGAGTGTCTTTTAACTCTTGGTGTACCATAAGGGTCTGTTGTACTCAATTTTGAATTTTTAGTTTCTTTTCTTGAGTACTCCTAACTGTGAAGACCTGTCTATAAAGACTGTTACTTCATTCTTTCTCAATAGTCTTCCAGAGAACAAAGAGAACATTTACTTATTTTTAAAAATATAGAATGAAGTATTTTATTTGTAATCACTGAAGAAATCTATTAAACCCTTTTACAAATCTGAAATACATAGTGGGATTTTATGTTTTTGTTTTTCCTATACTTTAATACATTACTCATCAACTATATGTTAACTTTTAAACATATTTTGAACATTTATGCTTAAAATTAAATTAATGGGAAAACAAATTGCTTGGAAGGCTGATGATATGGTGCAGGATATCATCATTTTTCAATTTTCTTAGTTCAGTGCCCCTTATAAGCCCTTGGTCTTGTTTAAAGACAGTGAAAACTGGAGGTCCCAGCTTTGTAGACCGCTTTTAGCTTTTATTGAACATAGTTGAGAATTTTGTATTTTTCATTTTCTGCTGTAATAATAAAGATAAGAAATTGAGGAGAATATTCCACAATTATTAGACAAGAAGATGGATAAAAAGAAACAGCAGTATTCTAAACCCTAACACTGAGAATGAAATATTTAAGTTAAATCTCTGACTATGAGTCTTCAGAAGACGATATCCTAATTTTTTTTTCAAAGCAAATGAGCAGCGTATTATGTCTTTTTAAAAAAAATTCTTTTTTTTTTTAAAGATTTATTTATACAAGAACTGGAGTATAGGCCAGATGTGCAGGAGGGTGAGAGGATTCACCAGAGACAGAGTGGGGAACAGAACATGCAGACTGACGAAATACATTGCTGAGGGGAGTAGTGGGCGCGACAGGAGAGGTCTGCTGCGCCATGTGGGTTGCTCTGAGGCCGGCAGGGATTGAACCGGCACTGCAGGGGCTGCTGACAGCTTCACAGTGCTGCATTCAAAAGCCTGCGCCACCAGGAAGGCCCCGTCAGCCTATTTTATCTTTCACTGTGCTTATGTCCCAGTGTTTCCTTGACATAGAGGTTTGCCATATTTACTTTTTCGTTGAAATTTACAAAAAGTGATTTTTCACAATCCTCTTATTCTCTAAATTAATAACAACAAGGTGGTAATGTAAAGCAGCTAAAGGAAACCACTAAACTAGAAGGTCACTGTTGGTGGCTGCTGTTCCTGCTATACTGAGGAATAGACCAGATAGTAAATGTTAAATGGGAAAGAAGGGAATTAAGATACTATGAAAGGTATAAACACAAAGGACACTACTAGACAAAAATAATAAACTTTTCTAAACACTAAAAGAAAGAAAACGTCAAATAGAAAAATAAACTGGTAAAAACTTATAATACACACAGTAATTAAAGCAAAACATGATATTTGAGATTCAACAAAATATTGCCAGTCAATGTGAATGAGATTAACTTACCTGTTAAGGAAAGATATTTTCAAATTGGTTATAAAGAGAAACCCAATTCTGTGGTGCACATAGAAGTCATGTCTGAAGCAAATTAATTCAGAAAGGTTAAAAAAGAACAAATGATGAAAGATTTACTGGAAAAGTGGATACAATGAGACAACAGTGGTAGCTATCCTGATACCACAGAAAGAGCCGGAGTCGGAGTCACCAAAATATTACACATGACAGTAACATCTGATTACTACTTTTTGTTAAGGAAGTCAGGGAAATTAGAAAATATACCTGTTTATATGAGCAAAAAGGAACTCTGTAAGGGTAAACCAGAAGACAGTGATATTGGTTACTTTCAGGGGGTAATGGGGAATGGGGTGGCGCATGTAGCAAGGAAGGTGTATTTCTGGGTTTATGTTTTAAAAGTAGTTTTGACTTTTGGAAGCAGATTGTCTTTAGAAGCACATTGGTTACCTACATATTAAAAAAAAAAGTCAACAGGAAAAGAAAGCAAACCTTAAAATGTGAAACTGATGTAATGATGAAAGTATAAAATATATGGGGCAATATGTTAACAATTAGTGAATCTGAGTAATGGGTGTGTAGGAATCCTTTGCTTATTCTTACAACTTGTTTGTGCCTTTGAAATTATTTTTTAAATAAAATGCTAAACATGGTTTAAAGGAGTACATGCATTTTTCTTAGTATTTGTTTATATAAGTTATATATTTGAGCTGAGGTTTGTAAGAATTCCTATGGAATTGCTCTGGCAGTAAAGGAAACATCAGTTTGTCCTTTTTGCTATACTTAAAATTATGACTTTTAGGGAATTTGTAACTCTCAGAAGGGACTTATGTGGATGGTTTTACTAACTGGGACCATAAAGCTCTTCTGGGTTAGTCCTGAGGGAAATTTATTTCACTTTAGCTTAGCAATACCTCATAAACTCTATAAGAATCTCAATGTGAGTTTCAAGGTTAGTGTAATATTAATGTTTTGCTTTAGTATTTTTCATGCCCTTAGAATTTGGGAGGTGTAGTTGGGAAGCCATTATTAATGTCATTTTATGTTAACTTTTTTCTTTTGATTTAAAAACTATTAGATATGATTTTTCAGAAAGGTAATTCCCCCCTCGTAAGTACAGTGATTCTTGGTGGCTATCTCTTCTCATTAGCTTTTAAACGTCCCTTTTTTCAAAAATTTGAGGTCAATTTCAAGAATAAATGAGACATTGCTTTTTAGTAAACTGATGCCTGAAAAATTTTAAAACAGATGTGTTAGGTGGTGGGAATTAGGAATTTTTAATGGACATCTCTCCTTAAGAGCAACTATAAACCAGAGACACTACAGGGTGGGGGAGGAGGGAGTAGGATCAAAACAAGGGGGGTGGGAATTGTATGGGGACTATAACCAAGATGAAAATACATACATTGTACAAAAATGAAAAATGATGTAAAAATGTATAAAATAAAAAAAATAAATCATAAGAATCATACCTCTAAATCATATGCAATATTGTAAAACCAATTTTATTTCAAATAAAGATAACACAAACTTTCATTGTCTTAAATTAAGACTTTACATTTGCTGTAAATGTTCTTTTGTTTATGATTTATCTTTTTTTCCCTTACAGCATCAAACACTTGGCTTGTTCCAGAAACTAAAGGAGCTATTGTGCAAGGTGGATATGGCCATACCAGTGTGTATGATGAAATAACTAAGTCAATTTATGTTCATGGAGGCTATAAAGCATTACCTGGCAATAAATATGGATTGGTAGATGATCTTTATAAGTATGAAGTTAACACTAAGACTTGGTGAGTAGATTAAGCAAGAGTATGAAAAGGAGAATATTTGTCTGTTCTATTTGTATAATGATACTTATGAAATGTTTTATGAGAGACATACTTGGTTCGTTTCATCTTTATTTTACCTAATCATCTACTATGTAGCAAAGGCACAAAATAGTACATTTTCTGTGTAGCCATTTTTACTATAAATGATTGACTTTAAGATGGTTTCTGATCCATTACTTATTGGTGCTGATATCATGTTCATTTCAGATGAGCCATTTTGGTCACCAGTATAACTGGAGCTTTGATATTACCTGTCCTGGGATTTCTTATTTTCATTCATATTTTATTGTCACTTGTAAATTTTAAAAAGCATTTCTTCAATATCATCATCCAATTTCCTGTGAAACACCAAGCTCATGGCAGTTTATTAGGTTTTTCTTCTTGTTGTTATAAACAGTGCTGCATTGCACATGGTGCGCTGGTCTGCGCATGTGTACATGCAAGTATTTCCTACTTACAAGTGGAATTGATGTTTCTGAGACAGTTACCTCTTCAACTCTATCACATATTCCCCAATTGCTCTTCAAGTTACTCTTGTAACATGTATTTCCATAAGTGAGTGTGAGTTTCTTCATATTTTCAGTGCCACTGGATAATTGTAAGGATATTGTCCATTGCCAGTGCCGTGGATGTGAAGGGCATCTTACTGATATTTTAGTGTGTATATCCTGATTATTCTTGTGAAGAGACATCTTTTTATGTGTTCATTTGCTGCTTGTGTTTCCTGTTCAGCAGCTTGCCTAGACATAACCATAATGTCCTCTTTATGTTTGAAATATTATTCATTAATTTTTCATTTATTGATTATGTGGGTATATAAATTTTAAAATATGACTTTATTGTACTCATTTCCCTTTGTAATATGTGGAAAATGGCTCCTTTGTTGTTTTAAGGCTCTATATATTATTTTAACCTTCCTACATTAAGGTATTTTATGTTTAAATGAAACACAGTTTTCTATCCTCTCATGATTTGTGTTACCCTCTTTCATTTTAAACATAGATTCTAATTTTTACTTTATTTGAAAGATGGATAGAATTTTAAAAATTAAGACTTTTGGGTGATTTTGTTGATTTCCATTACTTTTTCGTCTAGTAGAAGGCAGTATTATTTTTACAAATATCAATGACTTTATTACTTTCTCTCTACAATTAATAAATTCATTTTATTGCCTATTTTGATATTTATGACTGTTCTTTTTGAGTTTTTGCTATGGTAACAAGAGGAATTGTGGTACCATGATTAAGGCACAGTCTGCTTAGCATAGTTTTGCATATATTAAAGCAACTGTATAATAGTAACATAGTTCACAGTAATAATAATGGGCATGGGAGTACTTATGGAAAGCTCTTAGTGGGAGTGAATAGCAAAAGAACTGTGGGAATTATTTCAGTAAAGGCAAATGAGAGAATGAATGTTGTTTACCAATTGAATGAAATTTGATCAAATTTTATATGCCTGAAAAACTTCCATAGTGAATTTTTACATATAAGAATATAATTATTAGTCTTAGCAATTTTTTTATGCACAGTTAGCATTGGATATACCTTTCAGTTAGGAAAAGTTTTGTTCCCTGAATTTCTAACTGACTAGTGAGGATAAACCCACGATGGGCAGATTACGGTAATCTGCCCATAGCCTAACTATTCAATAGAAGCAAAAGTAAATCCTCTCTTGAGAGAGATAATACTATACAGAGCTTCAAGTTATGTTTTCAGTATGTCATCTGCAATATCATAAAAAATATGAAAAATAGTAGGCAACTGGAAAGGCTCACAAAAGAACTGGATGAAAATTACATTCAATGTAATTCAAATGAAAAATACATTAAATGAATTGAGTTCTTGGATGGATTTAACATCACATTAGACACAGCTGAGGGAGGAATTAATGAAATGGAAAATAGGTCAGAAGGAAATATACTGAAATCAAGAAAGACAGAATGAAAAATAAGAGGGAAAGAGATATAAACTGCTTATGGAAATTTTCTAACATACATGTGATTGGAGTTTAAACAGAGAAGAGTAAGAGAATAATGTAGAATGCTATTTGAAGTCTTAATGACTTACACTTTTTTCAAAAGTGATAAAAGAGAAGTCACAAATTGATGCAGTTTCATGAGCATAAAGGAAAATATGAAGTGGTTAATATGGTGTATTTAACTCCAAATGTATAAATAATTATAATAAATGTAAGGAAATAAGTATTCCAGCTACACTAAATGTAAGTGATTTGATATTGCAATCAAGATTAAGAAGTTTTTGGACTGGGTATTAAAAAAAAACACACAACAAAAACCTATCCATGCACTACTTAGAATAGGTACACCTTACATAAAAGTTTTAGAAATGTTGAAAGAGGAAGGGCATAAGGATATTATATAGTCAGTTAACAAATATCAGATATATAAGAATTTAAGTCGGGTATCCACCTGGAAGATATAGTAGTTTTGCATTTATATGTGCCTCATAATACAGTTAATATGGTGGAAAATGGAATAAATCACAGTAGAGCATTTTTGACTGTGTTGTCTTTGAAAACTGTTAGTACAAGGAGACCAAAAATAATCAGTAAGGATAGTAAAGATTTGAACAACGCAATGAAAAGTTTTGTTGTCTTTGATATTTGAAAGCATATTATCTCATGTCTATAAAGTATAAACTATTTTAAAATATATATGTTACATTAACTTTTTTGTACATGGGGTTTTCATGAAAGTCTCACCCATTTAAAAGTATTGAAATCATACAAAATGATTTATCATATTGAGATAATACAAAAGTAACTAGAAAGATCTTAATGTCTGGAATTATTGATTTCTTTAAAATAATTGGTCAAAGAAATTATACTGAATTAGAAAATAATTTATGCTGATTGATGCTGAATCTAAATGTGCTGCTAAAATGGGAAATTTATAACTTTAAGTGCATTTATTAGAAAGCATTTTCTAAGTCTTGAAAATCAGTGGGTTATCACATCAGGAAGTTAAATTAAGAATACCAGACTACTCCCAAAGAAAAGATAAAGTCAACCTTTGTGAAAAATTAGTCAGTGTATTTTTATTAAATGCCTGCAGGCATTGCTTCTTGGTGTTTTAGGCAATAGAAGCACAATGATTAAAAAATTACACTAAAATCACTGCATTCATGCAGCCTGTATTCTATGGAATTAATAAAACAAGTTATATACACACAGTTTTGTGGTGATAAGTGCTATTAAGTGAATAAAGTAAGGAAGGAGATAAGGCATGCAATTTGAAACAGGGTGGAAAGAGAAGACCTCACTGAGAAATAACAATAAGGGCTCTGTGGTGGTAGTATAGACTGGTCTAGCTATGGGAAACAGTGTCAAGATTTCTCAAAATATTAAAAGGAGATCTACATTATCATCCAGCAGTTCTACTCCTAGATGTGTACCCAAAGAATGCAAAACACTAATTCAAAGGGATAGATGCACTCCCATGTTCATTGCAGCGCTGTTTACAACGGCCAAGTTATGGAAACAACCTAGGTGCCCAAGGACAGATGAATGGATTAGGAAGATATGGTGTATATACTCAATTGATTATTTTTCAGCCATTTAAAAAAATGATGAACTCTTGCCATTTGTGATGACATGGTTGGCACTGGAGATAATATTAAGTGAAATAAATCAAAAGGAGAAAGACAAACACAGGATGGTTTCACTTAAATGTAGAATATAGAGAAACAAAACAAAGGGTGAAACAAGACCAAACCAAATACAAATACTAGAAATCTGACTGTAGAATTGATGTTGCCAGAGCGGGGAGAGTGTGGATAGCAAAGTGTGGAGGAGGCACATTGGATGGTGGTGGAGGACTGTGGGTGCCTTGGTGGTGGATATGGTGTGTAATAGACAGCTCAAGGATGTGATCCTATAACTTTAAATCATATATAATGTTGTAAACCAATGATACCTCAATCACAAAAATAAAGATATAAAAAAAAATTACAAACTAAACAAGACAAAGAAGAACCAAAAACTTGCCCAAATATTTAAGAACTAAATAACACCATACTTCAAAAACCTTCAGACAACAAAGTAATTGTCAGGTATGTTGTCTTAAGATTTATGAGTTTTCATAACCTTGCTATAAAAATATTACAGGTATATAAATATATTACAGGTATTGATATAAAGTTATTACAGGTAAGGAAAATTATAGTGTTATCTTTTTTTTATGAACAGAGATACAAAAATATGGTGAATCTAGCAATTTATGAAAAGAATAGTGCTTTATTTGGGTTCATTCTAAGAATATAAAATGAATTACAAATTCATAGAATCTGGATTATCAGTGAGATAAAAGACCTCAGCTTTTCTTGGCCTATTGTTGAGATCTTTATTGTATTACTTTTGCCTGTGAAAGAGCACAAGTTTTAACACAAAAGTTTATCAAGCATTATCAGTACAATTTACAGCTGTTATCAACTTGATAATTTTCCCTTTTTTTTTCCCAAGCAATAGGACAAAAGACTTCAAGTGTACTTCAGAAATGTAAAAAGATAAGTAGTGAGTCTGATGATAATGCTTCTGTGGTACTATTATATATTTAAAAAGTCTTTAAAATCAGTTACTTTAAAAATATATTTTCATAATGATGCTACATCTGGTTACATGAAACAATTTCTTCTAGCTTCTTAAATTTGATACAGTAGGAAATAATTTTACATTAAAACATCCTGAACTATTAAATTATTGAGTTTGGTGATTTCTCTAAACATTTAGCTTCCAGAGGTTTTTTGGAAAGTGATAGAAAACAATTTATTGATTTTTAACTTACATTTCAGTAAATACTGATAAACATGCTATTCATGGATTTCATCTTGCTTATTATTTCTCTGCATGTGCGTGTCTTTAATCTTTTCAACAAAAATTGTTGAGTCCATGTCAAACACAGTGTTGGGAAAAATTCAAGGAAGTTCTCAGTAAAGGAAACAGATAATTAAAATTGCATGGTACATATTTAAAGGGGGAATAATAACAGTACATGCACATATAATGAAGTTGTATAGTAGATTTATTAAGATGGACGTACAATTTACACAGACGAGAGATTGTTATAAACATCGTATATTATGAGACTTGAACTTTTGGAATGTCTAGTTAAAATCACGTGTTGATAATTAACAAGAAGCTTATTAGCTTTATAGCTTTACTTTTTGAGGTAATTTGGTACTTATTTTTTTCCTAGTGCTCTTTTATAAATTGGGAAAATATTGCGTGTGGAGAAATGACTGTATGAAAGCATACATATATATAGTTTCAGAAAATAATAAAGTGAACACCCTATCTGCCTGAGTCAAGAAAGAGGACATTACAGTACCCCCTGAGGCCCTTATGCGTCCCTCCATGATGGCAGCCTCTCATTATGCCCCAAGAGGTAACCATCGTTCTTAATATTGTGTTATTTCCTTGCTTTTCACAGTAGTATTCCCCCCCGCCCCGCAACATGTATTTCAAGACAACCTTTCATTTGATTTTTCCATTTTTGAATTTGGAATATTGTTTGATATGTATACTTTCATCTGAGACCTTTTAAAAAATCATCTTTGTTTTTTGAGATGTATTTTAATGGGTGGAAGCAGACAACGAAATGGAAATACGTGATTTTTTTTTTTAAACTGAGATAACATTGGTTTACAACACTGTGTTTGGTTCAGAGGTACAGATTCACACCCCTTCAGCTGTATCTTTTCAGTCTGTACCTACCACCAAGGCACCCCTGGTCCTCCATCACTGTTGAACCCCTACGCTCTTGGTTTGCCTGGCCCCAGTAGCCTCAGTTCTGTAGTCAGATTTCAAAGGTTTGTTTTAGTTAGGTTTTATCTGTTCCTTTGTTTTGTTTCTCTAAGTTGTACATGTAAGTGACACCCTCTGGTATTTGTCTTTTTCCTTCTGACTTATTTCCCTTAGCATAATCTCTAGTTTTCCATGTTGTTACAAATAACAAGATTTTGTCTTTTTTTTTTTTTTAATTTAATAGCTGAGTAGTATTCCATTGTGGTTCCATGGAGAAGAAAGGAACTGTGGAAAGAGGATAAGGAGCTTAGGTAGTTACATTCAAATGGGGTGGTCAGAGCAAATCTCACTGAGGACACACTTGAGTGAAGACCTGAAGGAGGTTAAGGTGGGCTCTGCCAGTATCACACAGGTGTTGTAGGAGAGGGAAAACTGATGTAAAAGCCTTGAGATGGGAATGTGCTTATCCTTTGGAATAGCAAGGGGGCCAGTGTAGATGGAGTAGAATGTCTTAGATATGGTTTGACAAAGTGGTAGAAAATAATCGCTGAGTGGTTCATGGGACCATGTCCTATAGAATCATGGAGGTCATAGTTAGGATTATGACTTTCACTCCAATATGGGAAGCTACTGGAGGGTTTTGAAAAGAGATGTGAAAGTCCTTGATTTCATGAGTCTTTATTTGATTTGATGCTTTATAATCAATTGCTGTTCTTCATTTCGGTGCTCAAATTGTCCCAGATCTGGCCAGTTGAGTTCCTGTGTCCTTTAGACATGTCCTCATCACTGTTTGTGCACTCCTAAGTTTCTGGCACATATGCAGAGAAAATCCATTCACATTTTTACTTTCTTTGTTGGAATAAATCATTTCCCTAAGTAACTCAGATTACTTTTAGTGTAGAATAATATTTAAAAATCGAGATTATCTGGCTATCTGGTTGAGGAAAAAAAAAGAAAAAGAATAATAAACCAAGGTATGTTTACTGCTCTATGGATGTGTTTGTTTCTAGGCCCTCTTGGAAAAGTCATAAAATCAACAAATACACACATATCTGTATCTGTTTATAGAAATGAGTATATATCTCTGGTGTTCTATGTCTGACTCTCTCTAAACCCTTTCTGTCTAAACCGTCAATACATAATGGTGGGACACTGCAGGATTTATTCCAGACTCCCTGTGTTCCATAATTGTTAATCCCTTCTGATAGTGAACAACTTGGATTCCATCTTAATATCACAGTATAGATACCATTTCAGGAAAAGTAACTGCAATTTTAAGTACTGCCTTTTTGTTTCTTTTTATAAATAATAGACTACTTTTAAGAACAATTTCAGCTTTGCAGAAAAATGAACAGAAAGTATGGCGTTTCCAAATCTTCCTCACCCAAGTACCTTTATTATTGTGTTGCAGTAGTATAGTACATTTGTTAATGTTGATGTGTCAGTATTGATACATTATTATTAATAAAGTCCAGATTGCACTAGGATTTGCATTGTAGGTCATTGTATTTTCACAAATGAATAATCGTTACCACATCACACAGATTAGTGTCACTGTGCCTGATGCTCACCTGTACATTCCTCCCTTCTTCCGCTCTGATTGTCTAGCAACCACTGATATTTTCACTTTTTCCATTTTTTGGCCTTTTCCAGAATGTCATATAACTGGAATCATTTAGTATGTGTGCTTTTTAGATTGGCTTTTTTCCACAAAGCCATATACACTGAAGTTTCCTCCATGTGTTGTCTCTCACTTGCCAGTCTCTTCTGTGGGAGGAACCTCTGTACCCCTGCTTTAGTACTGTGAGTCGAGGTTGTGCTCTGTGCCTCCTGGACTGGCACTATTGCATCAGTGCTTTATGTGCATGGTGCTGAATGGGGACGGCAGCCTTTGCTTTTCTCAGCTTGCCTCTAGTGGCATGGAGCCTCTGCTTTATGAGTGAAGTTGAGTGAAGACTTTTGGCTCCTGTGTTCTTAGCCTGTGGGCCTGGTGTATGGCTCCTCCCATCAGAGGGGGCAAGGTAGAGAATGAGCACTCAGATCTCTCATGCTTTCTCTTTGAATGGAGCTTCTGCCACCCAGAGTGAGGAGGCATGAGGAGTCTTGGTAGGCTGCTGTTCCTGCCTAGCTATCCTTGGGCTGGCCTAGGAGGGATGAAGGAATTCTTGTTCTTAGCTTTTCACACCTGGGATTGAAATTCTGATGTATTGAACTGTGTGTGTGTGTGTGTGCGCGCACACACATGCGCTTATGTCTACATGCAGGAAGGTTGGGAGCAGGTAATGGATCAGTGATGATGGACTCTTGCTGTTTTTACTGTATGTGGTAGATGTTCTTGAGTAAATATTTCTTAATTTGTTGTTCTTAGTCAAATATTATGAGACTTTAAAAGACTGTTTTAAAAATAATTTTTACTGACTGTAGTTCTTTCCACTGGGGTAGTATTTGTGGAACTCCTTGCTGCCATTCGGAAAGTCAGCTCCATATTCTTTAAGCTTTAATTGATATTATAATCCATGTTTTTTAAAATACCATATCTATTCTGCTAATGATATTATACCTACTGTGTTTACATTCTGGTTCTTTGTATCGGGGTTTATTTACATTATTTATAAAGTATTCATATTGTCATGCACCTTCATTATATATTATTTCATTCGGGTGAAATACAATTATGATTACATATTTATAATTCTTTTGGAGTTGTAGTTTAATTAATTTAAAGAATATATTTTAATGTTTTTCAAGGATACATTGTGATTTTCATTCATATGCATATGGATGTATCTCAAAAACAATCTGCATTTGTTTAGAATTTTTGGGCACTGTAATTTTAAGGAGACTTGTTTCCTGCTTTTATAAATGTAAAATGAATTAGAAGTCACCAGATCATTGAAAATTTTGTTTAATAATGTTTCCTCAAAGAATTTAAAGTACTGTGACTATCAAAATATTTTTTTTAAATATTGAAGTTTAGTGGTCATTTAAGAGTTGTTAAAAATAACATGTTTTTAGAATACTAGGTAAAATTCTATATGCAATTAGACCCGTTATATGATATATATTTATGTAAAATCAGGAAGATCTTTTTATCCTTTGTAATACATTTTTAAATTTTATTCTGTAGGACTATTTTGAAAGAAAGTGGGTTTGCCAGATACCTTCACTCAGCTGTTCTTATCAATGGAGCTATGCTTATTTTTGGAGGAAATACCCATAATGACACTTCCTTGAGTAATGGTGCGAAATGTTTTTCTGCCGATTTCCTGGCATATGATATAGGTATGTATTTGTTAGGATTGTACAAAGTAGGAGATGCCAGATGTTTTCATGTAGAGATACTCAAATATTTGACAGCATGTGTATATGTCATATAAGAGATAGAGTCAGTGACAAATTATAAACGGATCCCTTGAATTTCAGCACAGTAGTAGTTTAGGCCCAGGAGAAGACATGCACTGGAATGAGTTTGTGATAGAGACAGGAGAAGCAGACCTCTAGGGTTGAATATCCTTTTCGAAGGCTTTTACATATTCTGTCCTTATGTGAGTGCTATTATCAGCCTATTGTGTTTGACACTAATTGGTTTTAATAATGGGTATGGGATACTATTAAATTATATATATTGCAAGTAGTAGGAATGCAAACTTCTTATATTGAGTAGAGATGAGTAAAGATGCATTTAAATTTAATCCATTGGATATATTTACTTGGTATAGGAGTTGGTAAAATTAGAGAAAGGAATGTAGTTAGAGTTAAGTAAGAGTTTTGGACAAAATGGATGGAAACCCAGAACAAACCTAGACATGAAAATAAAGAAATGTGACTCTTCCAGAAAACCAGGAATATAGTGTATTTATATAATTCCCTTATTTTCATTAGGCTATCTATAGTATGTGAATTTCTGAATATTAAATTTACTTATTGAAATACTAAATTTAGTTACCCAGTAGACCATTATAGTGAAAACATTTTTTTCTCTATCATTTTGTAAGTAAAGCCTAGGTAGTATTTAAAATCTATTGAGCAATACAAAGAGTACGTTTTTGGATGGTTAAAGTAATGTAGCAACTTTATTAAGAAACATTTTGGTGAATAAAAATAAAACAGGCCAAAGTACAACACAGTTAATAGATGTAAGATGTGTACTTTTGCTTTTAAACATCATAGAGACCATGTAATCTAATTTGGAAAATTATTTCAAGTCACAGCCTATAAAGAAAATTAATGACTATTAAACACTTTGATCTTTATTGTAAATTTGTTTGCAAGGAAATTCCTAGTAAAAAAGTTAAGCATGCTTTCTAGCTATGTGTGTCCATCTGTGATTAATTATTAAAACCAATCCACTGTCTAAGATTTTCAGGTCCTTGGTAAATAAATCTTTACCCTTTTGAAATAATAACGTGAAGTGATGATTCACAATGACAATGATATTTTGTCCAGTTTTAGAAAGCTTATAGATCAGTGCTTGAGATCTTTAAAGAGCGGGTAACTGAGTTACCTAATCTGGGCTGGCTTATTATGACCTGTCATTATTTGGTTAGCATTGTCAGATAATGTTTTGGCCATGGTTAAGATTGTAAGCTCATTTAATATAAGTAGAAGAAAATTTTATTTGTTTTTCTCCAGGGAATACAAATTCTAGGAAATCTGTAGGATTCTGTTGCTTTTGTTAAAATTCCACGAAGTGATATTTTGAACGTTTGCAAAAGAGTCTTCAGAGAGCTTCCACTCAATGTTGTATTTTAATGAAGAAATGTTATTTTGTAGCTTATGTGTTTGGATTTATTGACATTTCTTCCATTTTATTCAGGTTTTCACATTTTAGATTTTATCTGTCAAAAAAGCTTTCTGAGGAGAAATATCATTAGAGGCAAATTGTTCAGATTGGAGGAGGAATAATATATCCTTACAGTTTTATAAAGTGTATTAATTTTTTTGGTGACAACAAAAATATAAAGCAGCCATACAGTTCAACATAGAATAAAAGTGTTTTGTCTTAATTCATTTGATTATTTCTATATATTCCCAACAAAGATCCCCCTACCCCCTAAACTGTATTTATTCATCTAAGTTGGCAGCATCAAGTGTTGGGATATTTTCCTGGGAAAAGTATTTTTCACATTTCTGAAAATGTCTTCCAAAATAATTCTTTTGTTTATGGAGTATGTTTTTGTGCAAATGAAATACAGCTGTTGGCATAAGGAACCAACTAGAAAAAAGATGTTTTGGAAAAAAATGGTCACATTGCTAATTTTTCTCTTAAATGTGGTACACTAACACTTTCATGGCATATTTAACCAAAATGTACATAAAACTTAGCTGATTTCTTTGCGTTACATGATGTTTAAATATATAGGAATATTTTTGTCAGTACTAATTCTTTATTCTAAAATGTACTGTTATGTCCTTATTGCAACAGTGAACTTTATATAGTGAAAATCATTAGTCTTTGAGCATATGACCTTGCTTCACAGTTCTTGTCATTTCTTGATAGATGTAGGGCATGTGATGGTGATTTTGATACACAGCTATACCTTTTCATCTCCTTTGAAGGTTGTAGGGGCAAAATCCAGACCTGTTAATAGGATTCTCTTAGATTTGACATTGGGTCTCTGTATCTTTAAAAAGTGATTCAGGTGCCACAGACAATAGAAACAGAACTGGTATATGAGGCCAAGTGGACTATAATACACAGCCTGGTGGGTTTTTTAATGTTTAAGTTTGTAAATCTAACTTGAAGTCAGACTTTAGAATCTGAAAACTTCATTGTTTTGTTTTTGTTGTTTCTATTAATTGCTTTCAGAAAGCCTCTTTAACGCCTTACATAAGATTCAAATGATCTTTCTAGTAAACATAGCCTTATAATAGATGACAAGGACAGAGATAGGATGGGAATGATGGAAAACGTGCTTCCTGAGTTGATCTCGTGTTAGACATAGGTACTTTGAAACTATTTGGCTATGGAAAGTAAATATTGTCATAAAAGATAATTGTCTAGCGTCAGTGGGGAAAAGAATCTGGTAGTTTTGGTTTTTACATCTTTTAAGTGTCAGTGGTCTGGCTGAAGTTTCAACATCTGTTGTGAGATTCCCAAATTGAAAAATGCCCCAAAGTCGAAGTGAATTTTAGGACAATACTGCAGAACCATCTAATGAATAGGTATTGCAGCATTTTCTATAGAGGACTAGCACTTCTAAAAGTTTATTTTCCCCTTATGATGTATGTCTGGTGTTGGTTGGGAAGGCAGATTTGTTCTTTGTTGTTGCTTAACAGGATGAAATTGCTTGGGTTATAACATCCAACTTTTACCCTGGGCCTAAAGAAAGAGAGCTGTGATATTTGTTGAAAAGTATCAATGTCCACCACAAATATTGTATGTAATTTTTTTAAGCTTTTAGTATAATTGAAGATGATATTTTGCAGATAGTAAAAAAGCCTTTACCTCCTATCACTCCATCTATAAAATACAAAGAACTTCTAGAAGTAGAATTGTATGATTTCTCTGAATTAATTGCTCTCATGTATAATTAAAATTTTATTACTATAATGTTTCTTTTGTGCAGAAAAACCTGTACAGTTTTTTGGGAAAAGTCTACATTATTATTTTAATTTTCATGAATTTAATGTGGTAGCTAAGAAAATCTGCTTTTGAATACAGACTTTGTTATTTAATAACTTTAAGGAAGCACCTTTAAAGACTGCTACTGTATCTATAACAGGGTGACAAAAATATTCACTTCTTAGAGTTATTTTGAAAATTAAATATTACATAGTTTCGATAAGCAGTTGACTGACCATTTTTATTAGGGGAAAGGTAATAGCCACATGTGTTAGGGAACTTCAACCATTTAAAAGACTGTAAAAGATTTTATGAATTCTTAAATTTCATATAATGTAGTTTAGTATTTAAAAAAATATTTCTTAGCTGTGAGAAGCAACTTTGTGCTTTTCAGCTTGGGGACTTCTGTAACACTATACTATATATCCCTCTTTATACTTGTCATATTAATTGTTATTCTTGAAGGCAGGAATTCAGTCTTATTTAACTTAATATTCTTAATGTGATTGCATATTTACTACACCTAAGTTGAATTACTCTGAATACTGATCATCCCTTTTCCTGGGTCTTACCTAAATTTATTATCCTAAATTTCATATATTTTTGCCTGTTAAGAATAGTCAAAGAATTTTCAGTCTTTTTTACTTTAGATTAAAACACTCAAGTAAATCTTTTATATTCTTTTATTTTTAAGGCATGGTAGTGTGAAAACTAGTTCAAGAACATCTAGGTGATAACTACCTGGTATTTAATATGGCTGCTATACTGAGATGTTCAGTTTTTAAGTGTGCAAGCAAACATTACCTTAGTAGGAAGACTATCAATAAAATGAACAAAATGTTCGCCATATATTTTTGAGTTTTGGCTTTTATCATTTATGTGAGTTAGATGATTTGATTGATAGATGTTTGGAGGTCTCCAAAGGTGATTAGAATTCCAACGTCAACATGTCTTACTAAGTACAAAATTTTCAATTAGTTTTGTTGTTCCTTACACCTAAATTTGTAAGGGCAACTAGTTATTATTTACGCATTTGCCTAAAGCTACTAAATTTGGTGAAAATGCCAACAAGTTGGGCAAAATAAAAAACTCAAAATTGAGTTAACAGTGAACTTTCGCCATTTGTGACAACATGGATGGAACTGGAACAGATAATGCTAAGTGATATACATGTATTCCTGTGTTCACTGCAATGTTATTACATTCTCTAACTTATGGGAACATCTTAAGTACCCAAGGACAGAGGATGTGGTGGCGGTGTGCACTCGTGTGTGTGTTTGTGTGTGTGTGCACACATGCACATACATACAATGGAATAGAACTAGGTCTCAGCTATAGAAAAAAGATGAACTCTTGCCATTTCTGACAATATGGATACAATTGGAGAAGATGCTGCTAAGCCAAACAAATCAGAAGGAGAAAGACAAATGCCAGGTGGTCTCGCTTAGATGTGGGATATGGAGGAACAAAAGGATCAGACAAAACCAAATCAATAATTGATCCTGGACATCTGACTACAAAACTGAGGCAATCAAAAGGGGAGGATGACTGGGTGGGTTTGACAAACCTGGGGAGTGGTACAGAGGTTTTCATAATGCTGAAAACATTTCTTTTTTTGCCTCCTAGAAATGAGTGGTTTACAGAGTTAGGAGGGATCTTCAAAACTCCCATTTTTTTTTTTTAAAGATTTGTTTATTTATTTATTTATACAAGCACTGGGTAACAGTCAGAAGCGCGGGAGGGTGAGAGAATTCACCAGAGCTAGAGCGGGGAACAGAACAGGCAGACCGATGAAATACACTGCTGAGGGGAGCAGCGGGCACGGCAGGAGAGGTCTGTGCGCTATGTGGGACCCTTGCCGGCTGCCGGGGATCGAACGTGCACTGCGGACCCTGCGGGCAGCTTCACAGCCCACCACTCAACCGCTGTGCCACCGGGGAGGCCCAAAACTCCCAAGTTTTAAAAAAATGATGGTCTTTATTCTTTTGGCTTTTCCCTGAATCATTTCTTAGTTATTCCTCAGAAGTTTCTGTAGTTCTCATCTTGAGATCTGCTTTCTTTCCCCGTGTATGTCTGGTTTGTTTTGGATGCTGGGCCACATTATTTACTCTTTAGTCCTAGGTAGGCTCAGACTGTGGGTGACTTTTCTGATGTCTCCTCTATGGAGATATTTATAATAAATTGATTTCGGAGGCCCTACTTCCTGAAAGCTTGCTTTTCTTCTTCCGGTTCATTTCTTTGAAGTATATTCAAGTTTCTAATTCTGTTGTTGGAATTTGACCATCAACACACAATTTATAAATGAATGGCCATGTGAGTGTGTGTGTGAGTTTATGTGTGAATGTGTGTGAGTGTGAATGAGTGAGTGAGCATGTTGGGTTTGGGTGGAGCCATTGAACCCTTGTCAGCCCTGACTCAGTAGCTGTCTCCAGCATTTCAGCTCTTACTTTTTCCAAGTCTGTGTCCTTGCAGGGCAACTCTTTTCTCCAAGTAGGAGTAATCTTTCAGAGCCATATCATATACCCTTTTATCAAATATTCATGATTTATAGGAAAATAAGTGGGCCTTAAGAAAATTGTTTAACTTCTACATCTCAGTCAACTTTACTGAAGTCTTATAAAGAATATTGTATGTCATGGAGTTGAAAGCACTTTGTAAATTTTATGTTACTACACACATGTGCTGCATTTTGCTTAACTGAGCTCTAACACATAAAATTGGCAGAGTATTTCTCTCATGCGTTGAACTCTGTAATAGAATTTCCCCAAATGTCATCTTCACAGTTTTGACTCTTGGGTGCATTAAGTGGTGTTATGTGAAAAGGACTTCTGTGGATATGGGAAAGCATTGGGTTAAGAAAGTTAGTCTTCTACACCTTCTACAACTTAGTCTTTGATAGTGTTTAATAGATAAATGTTCTTTGTGAGCTAAAGATAGACAGATTACACAAACAGGGCTATCTTTTATTTTTTATTTATTTATTTACTTATTTTAAGATTTATTTTTATTTATTTATACAAGCACTGGGTACAGTCAGAAGCGTGGGAGGGCGAGAGAATTCACCAGAGCCAGAGCGGGGAGCAGAGCAGGCAGAAGGACCGAAGTACACTGCTGAGGGGAGCAGCGGGCGGCAGGAGAGGTCTGCGCGCCATGTGGGACCCTCCTCTGGTGGCCGGGGAGCAGCCGGGGATCGAACCGGCGCTGCAGAGGCTGCGGGCAGCTTCGCAACCCAGCGCTCAACCCCTGCACCATCAGGGAGGCCCAACAGGGATATCTTTTAGTGGGGGAATTTGTGTACAATACACTTTTTAAAATACACTTGGAATACACTTTTTAAAATAAAACTGAAGATGTATTTTATTACTCTGAACCTTCCAGTTTAATTTTCTAAACTATGATTTTAGCTTTTGTAATTCCTTTGATTTTCACTAGTAATGGTATTTAATTTAGCCAATTTATTGTTGTATCACATGTGCTATAGACATAGCTATTTAAGTTGAACAAGTAATTCTTTACAATTCTTGCAGCCAACTGTATTTTATATTCCAAAGGACTTCTGAGCTTCCTAATGAGAAAATAATTTTATTTTTGGGGAATTTGTTACATCTATGTGCATTTATTAAATATCACAGCTTGCTTTCAGATGTGGGAAGATAAAATCTAGAACTGTTAAAAGAATCTTCCCATTTACTGAAAACTGAATTACTTGGCATCTCAAAGTCTGTATTAGTATATGTGTCAATTTTGAGGTTCTATTGAAAAGATATGCTATTTTCTTTAAACATTTTTCTTTCCATTCTCTTTATATATACACCTATTATTTAGATTTCTTTTTTTGCTTTTTACAACGGAAGTAATTATGTAAAACAAACTTGTTCTTTTGAAATACAAAGTCAATAGAGTGATTTAAGTATTTTATTTTGATGATTCAGTTTTCAGGCATTCTTTCACTGGTATTGTAGATTCTATTTAATTTTGTATTTATGCATATAAAATAAAATAATATAATAATAAAAGAAAATAAAAAAGTAGAAGTTATTTTGACTTAGGGAATAAAACTAGTCAAATAGTGATACTAAATTGTAGGTCATGGAAAATGAATGAAAGGCATTCTAAGTATTGTTTATCTTTAATTTGGCCAATGATTTTTTTATAATATGTACTATATTTTTTTGTTTTCCTTTTTCTAGCTTGTGATGAATGGAAAATATTACCAAAGCCAAATCTTCACAGAGATGTCAACAGATTTGGGCACTCTGCAGTTGTTATTAATGGGTAAAAGAAATACTATCCACATGTTTTGCTTTTCTTTTGTAAAATTATCATTTCCCCTTAATGGTGTTGGATTTCTGCAGCCCTATCTGCCTTGTGGTACACTTGATTGCTAACCATGTCCTTCATTAATTTTTTAAGAATATATTTAAGGGGTAGGTGAGTGGTCAAAGGAAAGGCGCTAAGATCAAACTTTAGATGCTTTTTAAAAACCGCTATCTGACTTTCTTTAGTTTTTGCAGAGATCAGATGATGAATGATTTTGTTAAAAAAATTGAAAACAAATGATAAAAATGCTAGCTCCATTTTTCTGTCTAGGAGAGCAAGGGAAGTGAAAAGAATCAGTTTTTCATTTTAGTTGTGTCATCAGCTAAATGCCTGATTTTTGACAAGTCAAAAATTTTTAACGTTCAACTTTAAAGTCCTTATATCCATTGGGAAGTTGGATGATCATTAAATACTCTTCCTCTTTTATGTTACTATGATTTTTTATTTCTATAGCAAAAATTTGGTAATTTGGGCTTATTGGCAATAAACAATATGCTGGTACATTCAAAACCTTAGAACTTGTGATTCGTAATTACATTTTGATAATTTTATTTTATTACCACCCCATTTCAACTATATAAAACTTCTCCAATATGATACTGAAAGCAGTTAAAGTTAACTGCAGTGGAACTGTGTAAAACAGATATGGTTTATCTTTCAATATAATAATAAATGAAATTCAGAGTGGAAACAAAACATTTAGGATTTTCTCTGGAGAAATTGTGTTTGGTTCACTTTTACTTTAGTATTTAAAAATAGAGATGCTATTTAAGCATTTTCTGATCTTTTCCTTTTATAATACTAATAATAGTTTTAGAAATAAAATGTAAGCTATTTTTGAGGGTATGTAGAATTTCTTTGGCATTGATAGTATTGATCCAGTAATTAGGTCAGTAATAGACTTGTCTTTCAAAATTGAAATTTAAAAAATTTTTCTCATTATTTTACTCAGCATTTTTATTTTATAAGAAGGTAGTAAAACACTGTAAGAACTCTGCATCTAATTTCTAAATACTGCCTGTATACAAGAATTACAACTTTAGATAGCAGTTATGAAGTATATCTTGTTATCCATGTATATAGCTGATATATTTCTAAAAATATTTCCTACATTGATAAGATGATACTTATTTACCTGATTAGGAAATGTTGTCATTTTTGTTCCTTCTCTTTTTTTGTTATGTAGAATGTATGCTTATGTACATATTTTAAATTAATATACTGGTCAGAGAATCTTGTTAATACTGTTTATGATTCTTGTTTTTAATAGGTCCATGTATATATTTGGTGGATTTTCTAGTGTACTCCTTAATGATATCCTTGTATACAAGCCTCCAAATTGCAAAGCTTTCAGAGATGAGGAACTTTGTAAGAATGCCGGTCCAGGAATAAAATGCATTTGGAATAAAAATCACTGTGAATCTTGGGAATCTGGGAATACTAATAACATTCTTAGAGCAAAGTGTCCTCCTAAAACAGGTGAATTTTTTAATTTTAGGCTTTTCTCAAAGCATCTTTATTTGGCTAGAAATAGAGATGCATTCTGCTTATAAGTATTATCTTAGCTTTCAGAAGTAAAAAATTCATAATCTCATTAGGGATTCTAATGTTTGAATTGAGCAGCAATTAATAATTTAATATTTTTATTACCTATTTTTGGTATTCTTTTTAGAATTTTGTCTGTAATGTGTATCAATATTTTATATGTAATATGTCTATATATATGAATTATTTTGCTATATAAATATAAAAATCCTTCAAAGGCATACTTTCTAAGAAATACTATATGCTTCAAGGAAATAAAATGAACTAATTTATTCTGCATTTGGTGGTTTTGTCTTTCTGAATTATTGCAAACCAGACCATAAAGTTAAAAATTATTTTAGAATTTTTATGACATGTTCTACTTTCATGTTTCTTATACAATATTAAATAAATAAATCAAATGTATGAAAAAATACTAGTAAATATTCATGAATGAATGATTTGGATAAAAATTTTTCTAGTTTGTTTAAATAGAAGTTTTATATATTTTTAATGCATTAAAATATATCACAAATACATTTTGATGTATACATTAAAATGTATGCTTAAGTTTTGATACTTTAAAAACTCAGATATCTCTTTTGTATTTTTACAAAGAATGATAAACTGAGTTTTTGTTATAATGTTTTGTTCAGTAAAACATCTAACTCTCTGACCCTAGTGTGTAAGTTTTAAATGGCCATAGGAGTCTGGTTGAATCAATAATTCAGATGAAGGTGGGAAGTAGCTAAGATCTTGTAAACACAAGCTATGGAGTCAACTCAATAGTGAAGAACTTATTTTGGTAAGGATGTTTGTATTTTTGGTTTAAAAATGTCTCAGTGATTCTTAAACAGATGTTCAAAAGTGTGACTTGGGAAGTGTGACATTTTCTTCCTTATGCTGATACCTTCTGTCTCCCATTTTTATCTCAGCTGCATCTGATGACAGGTGTTACAGGTATGCGGATTGTGCCAGCTGCACTGCCAATACCAATGGGTGCCAGTGGTGTGATGACAAGAAATGCATTTCAGCAAATAGTAACTGCAGTATGGTTAGTATTTATGGGTAAACAGCACATAGTTAATGTTGTTGCTTTACAGTCATTAGCTTACCATTTAATAGCACTTTACACAGCAGGACATTTAGAAAATATGTGGGGGACCACTCATTTCTTGATATGTTATAAATTCAATCTGCAGTTTGTTACTAAGATTTGTCTGGTCGGATTCCATTTAGGATCCAGTAGCTTTTACTTCCTTTCATGGATGAGCTGGGAAAATTTCTTTCAAAAATGATTTTAAAAAAGGACTATAACTATGAATATTGTCTTCTTTACTAACAGAAGTAGGATTTTGTAGTTAAGTGTTATCATTTTCATTGAATTCTTATCAGACATGCATCAATAGACTGAGGTCTAGTGTTTGCTTATGAGGTTTGTGTGCAAATTTAACCTGAGGTATTGACAGAGGTGGTTTTCCTTTTATTTCTGTCTTTAGATCAGTGGTTCTCAATTGTAGTCAATTTTATGCCCCAGGGACGTTTGGTGATGTGTATAGATTTTTTTTGGTTGTCTGTAGAGATCAGGGATGCTGTTATAGATGTTCTGTAATCAATGAACATCGCTCCTCTCCACACACATACACACAAATTATCTGGCTCAAAGTGTCATAGTAATGAGGTTGAGAAACCTACTTTGGATAGACTTAAAAAAATTTTAAATTATATTTATAGTAGATGACAGTTGATTCAAAGCAGCAAAAATTAATTCTAATTCTAATTAATTCTAAATTAATTCTAATTCAGTTTAGATTACTGTAATTTTATAGTATTATTTGAAGTTGGAGTGTGATGCCTCCATTTTTTGCTCTTTTTATTCAAGAATGCTTTGACTATTTGATGTCTTTTGCAGTGACATAGAAATTTTAGGATTTTTTTTTTATACTATTTCTGTGAAGTATGCTGTTGGAATTTTGATTGGGATTACACTGAATTTGCATTAGATAAAATGGCTGTTTTAACAGTGCTAATTCTTCCAGTCCATGAACATGGGTTACTAATTCTTCTGATCCATGAGCAAGCAGGTTTTTTCATTTGTTTTTCTTTTTTCAAGATTTATTTTATTTATTCATACAAGAGCTGGGATATAAGCTAGAGCTGCGGGGGGAGAGGGCGGTGGGATAATTCACCAGAGACAGAGTGGGGAGCAGATCTGGTGGATTGACTGAAATACACTGCAGGTGAGACAGGAGAGGTCGGCTGTGACATGTGGGTTTTCTCCCTGGCCGTGGATAGAACTCGTGCTGCAGTAGCTGCCCATAGCTTCATAGTGATGAGACTTAACCCCATGTGTCACCAGGGAGGCCTAGGTTTTTTCATTTCTTTATCTTACTTTCTTCTTCCATTTTTCCCTTCCATTTATTTCCTTTTCTATTCTTTTATCTTCAGCTACTTTCCAAAGTATCTTATAGTTTTCAATGTATAGGTTTCTACCCCCTTGGTTAATTTTATTCCTGGATATTTTATTCATTTTGGTCCCATTATACATGGTATTGTTTTCTTAATTCTCTTTCCAATAGTTTGGTATAAAAAACATAAACTTTATATGTTGATTTTGTAGCCTGCAGCTTTACTGTAGTTGCTTTTTATAAGTAGTAGTATTCTTGTGGAGTCTCTTAAGATTTTTTATGTATAATATCATGTCACCCTCAAATAGTGATGCTTTTACTTGTTCCTTTCCAATTTGGATACCTTTTATTTCTTTTTCTTGCCTAATCACTCTAGCTAGTACTTCCAGTGCCATGTTGAATAGTAGTGGTGAGAGTGGGCATCCTTGTCTTGTTCCTGATCTTGGCAGAAAAAGCATTTAGTTTTCACTATTGAGTATGATGATAGCTAAGCTATGAAGCAACCTGAGTGCCCATTGATGGACAAGTCAATGAAGGATAAGTGCATAAAAAATGACGAACTCCTGCCATTTGGGACAATGTGGATGGATATTGAGGGGATTGTGCCAAGTGAAATAAGTCAATAGGAGAAAGACAAAAGTTGTGAGATTTCACATGTATGTGGATGATAAGAAACAAAACAAAATGAAAATAAACACTTAGATGCTGACAACAAAATGATGGTTACAAAGGGAGAGGGGATAGGTAAAATAGCTAAAGAATGTCAGTTATATGGTAGTGAATGGAAACTAATCTTTTGGTGGTGATCTTTATTATAATATATATACTTATATGTGTGTGTATGTGTGTGTGTGTGTGTGTATAATATACATGTATATGGCTGTGTACCTGAAATTTACACTACGTTATAAACCAATATTATTTCAGTATTTTAAGAAATTGTAAACACATTTTATTTAAAATTTTGTTGGATCAATCTGTGTTAATTTGTGTTTAGACAATTATAATAATTGCTATCAAATATTAATTTCATAATGAGACCTGTTCCTTTAAATTTTATTTTTGATCATGTGTTAACAAGGAAAGCACTGGATGACATTGTATCAGTAAGCAGATGGTGCTCACTTATGATTTAGGCTTTGGTGTGATGTGTCTGTTAGCCAAATTTGTTAGATGTCTGGTGATTAAGTGAAACCAAATGCTAATGGATATAGAGATTTTTAGTGAAATTGATGTCTATTGATAACCTGTTTATCTAGTCATATTTTGTACACCTAAAGCCCAAATTACCTGTTTATTTCTCACAGATTTTTATCTGAAATTTATAACTAAGTATATTAGAGAGATAGGTTGAATAATGGTCACTCTTCCTAGTCTGTTTACTAATGTGAATCTGGTTAATTAGGTAAAAAAAATGCTAGCCATGTTTCAGAATAACAGTCAGTTTTCTTCCGTCATTGATTGAATTGTCCTTCTGTGTGCCCCAAACATCATTTCATCTGTTATACTGGTTCAGTACCATTAAGTGACTACACTGTTCTCCCTGAAAGCAGTAGGGTTATTTGGATGTTGACTCTTATGCCATCATTGTTATTCTAGAGACCAGCATTAAGCTGCTACTCTTTCTCATATTTTAAGGTTTTGTTTTTTTTAGCAATTCTCTAGTCATTTTTATGTGTTATTTCATTTATCAGATGATTTAAGTAAATGTTTGGAACCTTACTCTAATGGTCAAAGAGAATACGGTTAGATTTTATGCCATGTGAAAAAGAAAGCTATGAATGAAATAAAATCTTGAATTTTTTATATATTGATCTTTAAAGCTTTTAAATAGTGACATATGCATTTGTGCAGTACACAGAAGTGTAATCAGGTTTATATGTTTCTAGCAGAAATGTGGTAGTTGAATAATAGTTACATAGTAATTTGGGATTTAGAAAAATCTATCTGTGATTTTTTAGTGATGAATAAAAGTGAACGTTAGCATCAGTACTTTTTTTCCTGTTATTTCAATTTGTATGTAACTTGTTTTAAATGTATTACTTTGGAATGAAGGTGACTGCAGTATGTTTTATGTAGATATGTATAGTAATTTATAAATAAATTATTATAAATAAATATTTGGTAGGTGAAATTTAAAGAAAGGGGTGGTAAGGACACCACCAAAGTTCCTGTATTGCTGTTGTTTATTTTTCTCTTTTCTCTGTAACCTTTCGTGTCTTAGTGCAGAATAGGTTGAACATGATAACTTTGTGGGGTAGGTTGATTGAAATGTAGCTTTCACTGATTGTTTGCTGCCTTGATTAAGGAAATGTGGTAAATATGTATAGGAGAAACATAAATTAAGCAAAATTATTATTTGGTGCTTTTGGAAGAAAAATTAGTTTGAGTTACTGAGAAAAATTTATCCTTTTAAATTGTATTGGATTTTGGTTAAGCATCTCTTTAATTTATACTGCTTATCACTTCAACTTCATTTTCAGAGATTTAGCGTAATTATTATGACTAGAATACTTTCGTATAATCATTAAGAGAAATTACTTTGTGGATTGGCTGTAGTTGTTGAACTGAAATCCTGTTCTCAGATTCAATAGAAAAAATTTCACTAGCTGGCCTCTGTTTTATATTTTGTAATTTGTGCATTTTTTCCCCCAATAAGTGTGCATTACAATACAAGAACTATAGTTTAAATAAATAAGAGAGATTCTGATTCAGTAGAACTGCATTTGGGATTAGAAATCTGTATTTTAAGATTCACCAGATGATTTATATATGCGAAGAGTCACAGCTGTGCAAAGGTGAAAGATTAACATGCTTTATCTTTTAATTTCCTAGTCCGTGAAAAACTATACCAAATGTCATGTGCGGAGCGAGCAGATTTGTAACAAGCTTACTAGCTGTAAGAGCTGTTCGCTGAACTTGAATTGCCAGTGGGATCAACGACAACAAGAATGCCAGGCTTTACCAGGTAGACTTCAGCCTGGCCAGGGGGCTTTGTGGAGGGAGGAACAACACCGTGGGGCGGCGCGCTTCTAGAATTAAAAGTAGAATAAAATAAAATAAACCAACAACAGGTGAACTGTTTGAGTAATAATAGTAATGTTTTTGCATCAAAAGTTTGCATATTTGCCTCCAATTCTTTTAAAATGGTCCAGGTTTCTTGGATTTATTACTCTGTTGGCTTGATCAAAATCTTTTCAGTGAATAAATCTTGAGCACCACGAGAAACAACAAGTACTCTGCCTTTTATCCAGATTTATAAATGCTGACATTTTCTAAAGTTTAAAAATATACAGGAGACATAACTGTATAATGTATTTATCAATCTATGTTTTAGATAGAGTTGCTATTTTAGGTTACGTTTGGATGCTGTGCATAGTCTTATTATTGAATATTAAACTTTTAAACTTAGGAAGAAGTGAATAACTAAAAATGAACACTAGGAAGCACAGATTATAGCTTCATTCCTAAACATACGTGGAAGGAGACTCCTTTCTCCACAGTTACAATGAGGACATCAAAAGGCCCTGCTTTTATCAATATAATTGGGCTGTGGAAATTAGATTTGGAGGACAATTAGCTACACTTGTAGGAATAACTTTGAAATTGCTTTTGTTATGTGCTGGTAATTCTATTAAAGAGATTCTGTACTGTGTAAATTGGCTCTTGGAACATAGATATCGTAGCGATTTTACTTGTTGAGTTACCATATGCCAGTATAGTAGATTTACACAGAAAAATGAGCAAACAGTGAAAACACTTTAACACATCTTATAGAGCCACAGAATTAAAGAAAAAAAATTAAGATCTTCTGTGCTCATTATCTACCCAACTATAGAGGAAATATGTTTACTATAGAATATTGATATATTTAAACTTTTTATTTTTGAAAATTATTAAAACAAATGCACAAGTATTTAGAGTTCTGAAATAATTGAAAAATCTACACGATTTTTAGTAATCTAAAACTAAGATTTTTTTTTTTCCCTAGCTCATCTCTGTGGAGAAGGATGGAATCATATTGGGGATGCTTGTCTTAGACTCAATTCCAGTAGAGAAAGCTATGATAATGCAAAACTTTATTGCTATAATCTCAGTGGTAATCTTGCTTCATTAACAACCTCAAAAGAAGTAGAATTTGTTCTGGATGAAATACAGAAGTATACACAGCAGGTAACAACTATACTTATTTATATTATGGAAATATGCTGATAATCCCATAATTATTGGCAATGATTTATTTTTGTTTAGTAAACAAATTGAATACAGAAAAGTGGAACTGACTTCAAATGTAAACTGGCAGAGGACTTATTCTATATGTTTTTGGTAATGTGTTCTGAATTGTTCATCTCATGTCTTACACAGTAAATCAATGCACTGTCTTACCAGAAATCATCTCATATGAATAAAATTAAACCGTGTGCATATAATATAAGAATGTGTAATGATACATTGTAACAGAGGGAAGGCCACAGTGCATTTTTTCTTTGATCCTATGCAGACAGGTAAAGGAGAGTCTTGGAGCCCTCGGTGGCTCTTTCAGGCCAATTTTACCAGGTACATGGTAGGCAGCAGTGCCGGGGTGGGGGGCACGGGAGGCTAGCAGGCCTCCTAGCCTCCTGTGAATCTTTACTTCCTGGACTCTCCTGCATTCTCTCCTGTGGTCTCTGCTTTTCTTTCTTCTCTTCTGGTTCTGTTCTTCCTCTGACACCGCCCTTATAAGCCCCCATCTCAGCCCAGTTGAATCCCACCTACATATGCCCACACTCCACTCCAGGTGCCCGCCATCAGGCATGCATTCAGGACTGCAGGGATCCAACATCAATGCTAATGGCGGGAGGGCAGAAAAGCCTGACACTTTACTTACCCTACATACATCCTTTATACCAACACACTGGCTCTATTAGTATATATGTGAGAGAGAGAGAGAAAGAGAAGAGAGGAGGCAGGGAAAGAGAATTGTGATTTAACTCTTTGAAATAATATGCTGAAGATTAGCAGGACTAAAACCTATTTTTAAAGTATGTAGACAATACAGAAACATGCTGTAATGCAACCATCCTGCACCGGGTAGGTTCAGCACCCGTTCAAGCAGTGGTGTTGGTGTTTTAGCTTTTTCATGTTTCCTTCAGGATGGTAACAAAATATCATTTTTTAGGAAACTTCTAGGAGGAATTTATAGTAATTATTTTATATTCTTGGGACATTAAAATATAGTCACCTCTTGAGTGGATTAAATAGATTAGGAAGTAATTTTCTAAATCTAATTTGAAATACTTTAGCTTGAATATTTAATAGAATGTAAACTTTACTACCAGGCTTTTGTATTTTGTTTTGAAAATAAAATTAGAACTCATTATAGTTTGGGTAAGCAATAAGGTTAAACAATAAAGGCCTCAAGTCTGGGGATTATACTAGATTCGGGTGTAATCATAGTACCTTGAGGGCTTGTTGTGACAAATAAATGAGATATTGCTTGTAAAGAATACAGGTAATTTTAAATTTTGAGTGTTTAATTGTGACTATTATTATTTTCATTTAAGCTTTGTTAAGTTTGTGTCTTTGTTCCCATTACTGCTATTGAAACTATTTCATGGAATCATTTTTTAGAGAATACATTAGTAATTACAGATTCATTTGATAAATAGTTAATGTATTGGTACTCATTGTGGAAAATGCTTGCCCCAGAGTAATGTTTTAATTTTTCCATGTTGAAAAACATTTTCTTTCCCTGTAGTTTTGCTAGAACATTTTATCTCTTAAGCTAATTCCTGATGTAGGATGAATAGTAGGAACATATGTTATTGATTTGCCTTTTGCCTCTAACAAGGGAATATGCATCTGGTTTTTAAAGAGTGATATAAGAACAGCTTTGCATAATTGTTAAAAAGTAGGCAAATTAAGCATATTCCATTTTGAAATTTTGGGATGGACATTCAGTTCACCGTTAACTACCTTTCAGTTGGCACCCTAGTGTTTGCTTGAAAATATAGAGATCAAAAGACAATGACTGTTCTCAGTTGAGTGGGAAGAAAGGTGAACAATTATACTGAAATGTGATAATTACAATGATAGATGCAAGTAATGATATATGAAGATAGAGGGTAGATATCTAGCCAGTAATTAATGATAAAGATTTTCCAAGAGGAACACCACACTCAGTGACTTTAGAAAGACTTTGGCTTAGCTAGTACATGAAGATATTTGTAAAGGAGACCAGAGAAGCTCCTGTTTCTTTTCTATTAATTTGTCTTGCATAGGAGCTGCCGGCTTTATAGCTGGAGAATAAGATGGTTTGGTATCGTGTAGGAGAAAACTATTAATTTTTTTTATTATTTTAGAAAGACATGAAAGGTAGATTTGTAAAGTTTTATTTTTAATCACATGATGTGTACAACATGATATACCACCTAAATTAAACATACTCTCTTTATATTCCTATGATCCCAGGAGTTTAATTTCTTTATTATAAAATTGAGAGATAATTGCCAATGAACTTTTGAAAATTATACTGAATATATATCACAGTTTATTATTGGAAGATCTACATTCTTTGAATTTTAGAAAGTACTAGAGTTCTGTTGCTTTGTTCCTTGTTTAAAATATTTATTATTGATAGTTCTTACACTATATCCTTGAAATACGCTGTTTTAGCAGGTACATATTTTGGGGATTTTTCTTGTTTAGTTTTATTAATAATGACTGGATTGACCACTATTTTAGATGTGTCATGAAGTAGATTCAGTAGTTTGTGGACAAGAATGCCTGGTAATTGATTGTTTTATTTTATTAGAAACTTAAGCTTTTGTTAAATTTATGCTTTGGCAATAACTTCTGCAGGGTATCATTCCAGCAAGCATACCTATATACAGTAGAAAACAAATTATATGTTGAATCACTGCAGTTGTATAAATGTAAGATAGTCCTTCCTTGGTAAATAAAGTGACAAATTTGTGCACTTTAAAGAGATATTCTGGTTCAAATGATCATTTACTTACCAGAAATGGCTAATGAAATGTTACAATAATTCTAGAGTGATGCAGTAAATTTTCATAATATAGTAATTTATCTTTCATTTTCAGCTCGCTGTCCAGTTCATTTACTGAGTAATAGTTACTTTAAATGTTTTATCAATTGCTTCATTTTTCTGTTCCTCTCTTCTTCCTCCCAGATTCTTATCATGATATGCTAGCAAGTAATATTTCATTTTAAATGACTTGTCTTTACTATAGATAATTTAGAAGTATAGGCAGAGTTGCTGTAATGTGAAACACAGTCATTAATCAGAAATATCTATGTGGGGTTGGTTCCTGTTGTTATTATCAAGAACTTTAAAATGTTATAGCTTTTCTGTTATTGAAATATCTTTCAACATAATGTATGAAATATGAGATGATCATGATGTGAATCAGCATGTACATTTTTATAATTAGAAACATTATTATATATTATTTCTGTCTCAGGAATTGAATGGTGAAAATTAAACATCTCTGTTCTAATGAACTTGGTTTAGCAAAATTTGTTGACTGCCTACTATGTGCCTTGTATTCTAGGTGATATATGTACTGCCATGATGAATATTCAGAAGATCTAAAAATTTTATCTAAGAAATATTTATTGCATTTTTACTATGTAATATTTATGGTTTTTATATACTTTATAAATTTCTAGGTTTATGGCCATCTGTCTAAGCTGTCCTGGATCATTTGCACAACATATTTAGAATAGATACTGGAGATACCTATATCTGCATTTGTATCTATAGCTATATATCATCTCTGCATTTTTATAGACATTTATATATCTTATTTTTGTATTGTTAAAGCCTCAAATGGGGAGACATTTTTCTCCACCCTGACAGTCCATAATGTAAAAAAAAGGATGATGTGGAATTTTGAAACCACTTCACATTGTAATATATTATTTTTAGCTTAGCAACTTAACAAAAATATATTGTCATGTATATCAAAGTGGAAGTGTTTAAGAATAAAATCAACAAAGTAAGAAAACAGGTGTTCCCAGTGCTGTGCCCTCACAGAAATATTGGCTGTTCAAGTCACTGTTTTTGTGAGGAACGTAGGGGAGAGATCGCAGCACCGGGGTGGAGCACAGAAATGAGAGAAGACTCATTGAAAAAGATAAAAAGCAAAGGTTTACATTGTCTCTATTCTCTTTTCCCCACACCTACGCAGGGCAATGTAGGATGGTGACAGATAGCCTTTGTGAAGGAGAAAGAGAGTGAAGTGAGCACCAGAATTTGCTCCAGGTCAACCCTACTGAACCCCATTGCTTGATGGCCCCTGTGGAGCCAGACACAAGGCTTGGCCTGTGTCCTCAAGCTCTAGGCTGGTACCTGCAGACAGTCTTTACGCTGGATTCTTGTAGCCTTAGGCTTCAGCAGACTGAGGTTCCAGGCACTCCCCCTCGAGACTCCAGCACCAGGCTGCTTCCTTAGGCCCAGGAACCTGGCCCCCTAAGGCAGACTCAGGCTTAAAGCCCTGCCCTATGAACCCAACATTCAAGCTTCCCCTCAGGTCCAGGTACCAGACCCACCCAGAGTGGCCCCGGCAGCAGGCTAGCCCCTGTGGACCAAGGACGCAGCCCTTGCATGTTGGCTCGAGGGCCATGCTTACCTCAGTACCCAACTGGCTGCCATGAATTTAGACCCTGGTATCAGGTCATCCTCACAGACCCAGATTCCAGGTTTGTCCTCATGAATCCAGGCACGCCGTCTGTCTAGGTGGACCCAGCCTTCAGGCTTGCAGCTCTGATCCCAGGTACTTTGTAGGTCTCCGTGCACCAGGAGCCAGAATTACCCACTGAAAGGACTCCCATATAAGTCATGTTCTATTCTAGATTATTCTCCAAAAAAACCTGGAATTTTACTTATATCTGGTACTAAAAATTACTAGAAAGTCAATTATATGTATTTTCAAACAACGTTCAAAGAGGGTTGAAATCTTTTTTTTTTTTAAAGATTTGTTTATTTATACAAGAACTGGGGTACAGCTCAGAGGCACGGGAGGGTGAGAGAACTCACCAGAGACAGAGCAGGGAGCAGAACAGGCAGATCAATTGAAGCACACTGCTGAGGAGAGCAGTGGGTGAAACAGGAGAGGTCTTCAGCACCATGTGGGTATCTCCCCTGCCGGCCGGGATCGAACCTGCGCTGCAGAGGCTGCGGACAGCTTTACAGCGCTGTGCTCAACCCGCTGCACCACCAGGGAGGCCCTGCTTAGATATTTTTATATCTAACTTTTTTTACTATACCTTTTGTGATTCTTTACAGAAAGTATCACCTTGGGTCGGCTTGCGCAAGATCAACATATCCTACTGGGGATGGGAAGACATGTCTCCCTTTACAAACACAACACTGCAGTGGCTTCCTGGTGAACCAAATGATTCTGGGTTCTGTGCATATCTAGAAAGGGCTGCAGTAGCAGGTTTAAAGGCTAACCCTTGTACATCTATGGCAGATGGCCTTGTCTGTGAAAAACCTGTCGGTAAGTAGTACCGTAAACTAGTATTTCTTTAAAAATATGATGTCTCCAAGCCCCCTTCCTACTATCCCCTCTTGAAGTGTGACATTCTGTGTGTCTGAATTAACTTTCATCCTCTCTTTATTATACTGAGTCCCTGGGTTTGGTGGTTTTTGGTTTTTTTTTTTTTGTAAATTTTATTTTTATACACACTATCCAGTTATATTAGTGACCTCAGCATTAACGAACCAAATGAAATTTTATACAATCTTTATTTCTTGGTTGAAATGCTGAGATTGTGAGCATACAGTTGCTTACACTAACAATACATTTTTTTTTTTTAAAGATTTATTTATTTTATTTATTTATACAAGCACTGGGTACAGTCAGAAGCGCGGGAGGGTGAGAGAATTCACCAGAGCCAGAGCGGGGAGCAGAGCAGGCAGAAGGACCGAAGTACACTGCTGAGGGGAGCAGCGGGCGGCAGGAGAGGTCTGCGCGCCATGTGGGACCCTCCTCTGGTGGCCGGGGAGCAGCTGGGGATTGAACCGGCGCTGCAAAGCCCGCGGGCAGCTTCGCAACCCAGCGCTCAACCGCTGCGCCACCGGGGAGGCCCAACAATACATTCTTAATTTGGTCAATTTTTTTTTTCACTTTTATAATAATAGTATTTGGAAGAAACACTAGTTGTTAAGATTAGCAACAAATTAATATTTTTTTTTACAGTTTTCTTTATGTAGATCCTTCTCCTCCTTTGTTAGGCTTATTCCTGGGTATTAATTTTATTTTGGTGAGATTGTGATTGGGATGGCTTTCTTAATTTCTTCTTCAAATTCATTATTTGTATACAGGAGGCAACTGATTTTTGTGTGAATTTGCTGAACTGGTTTATTGTTTCAGTTTTTCCATGGATACTTTGGCGTTCTCTATGTATATTATCATATTTGTCAGTATGATAGTCTTCTTATTTCCTAATGTGGATTCCTTTTATTGTTTTCTCTTACCTAATTGCTCTAGCTAGGACTTCTGATACTATATTGAACAATAGTGGTAATAACAAACATACTTCTTTGTGCCAGAATTCAAAGGCATCAGATTTTAGTGGAAAGGCTTTCAGCTTTTTACCATCGAGGATGATACTACTTGTGGGTTTGTCATAGATGGCTTTTGTTATGTTAAGAGACATTACATTTACCCCCAGTTTTACAAGGGAGTTCATCATAAGTGGGTGTTGAATCTTATCAAATACTTTCTCAGCATCTATAGATAAGATCATGTGGTTTTCCTTTTTTCTTTGTTGATGTGGTGTATTACCTTGATTGATTTTTCACATGTTGAAAATCATTTTAATTTTGCAGATCTAGTAAGTCAGTAAGTAAAAAGAAACATTTCTGTGTCATCTTTTGATGGATTTTTTTAAGTGAGAAATGAATATTGTATTTCCTCTTATTTTCTTAATTCTCATATATTACTATATTGTATTATTATTGTTTCTCTTATTTTCTCTTAAAATTCTGTATTTTTTATTGCAGTAAAATATACATAACATAAAATTTACCATTTTAACCATTTTTAAATTACATCTACATTGTTGAACATCTCTCAGCACCATCTGTCTTTTTCATTTTTCAGAATTTTTTCATGTTTCCAAACTGAAATTCCATAGTCATTAAACAGGAATTCCCTGTACCTTCCTTCCTGCTCCCTGATAACTACTTCTAGTTTCTGTCTCTAGGTGTTTGACTACTTTAGGTACCTCATGTAAGTGAGATCAGTATGCATGTCCTTTTGTGACTAACTTACTTTGGTTAGCATAATTATGTCTTCAAAATTCATTCACGTCAAGCATATGCCAACTTTTCTTCTTTTTAAAACCTGAATAATTGCTCCTTGTGGGTATAAGTCACATTTTATTTATCCATTGATGGACACATGAGTTGCTTCCAATTATTAGCTATTGTTAATAAAGATACTGTGAATGTGGATGTATCAATATCTGCTGTAGTTCCTGCTTTCATATTTTATGGGTCGAACCATATCATATGGTGATTTTATGATTAATTTTTGGAGTAATTACTATACTGCTTCACATAGAAACTGTCCCATTTTACATTCCCACCAGCAATGGACAAGGATCCAGTTTCTTCACATCCTTTGCAGTGTTCAAAAAAAAAAAAGCCACCTTAATATATGTGACAAATAGCGTATTTTACATAAAGATTTTATAGTAATTTTTTAAAAAACTTTGTTTATAGCAGAGACGACATGTTCACTGATTTGCTTTGATGACAGATGGACAGACCATCTTACCTTCCATTTACCTTGTCATGTCGTTCATGCTGTCATTTTTATTTCACACTTGTCTTAATTGAAACAATCTTCAAACAGCAAAACAAACAACACTCATATACTTGTGTTAAAATACAGGTAAGTAAAATAATTGTTTTTGTTGATTTATTCTAGTTAGTCCAAACCAGAATGCAAGGCCATGCAAGAAGCCGTGCTCCCTGAGAACGTCGTGCGCCAACTGCACGAGCAACGGCATGGAGTGCATGTGGTGCAGCAGCACCCGGCGCTGCGTTGACTCCAACGCCTACATCATCTCTTTTCCGTATGGACAGTGTCTGGAGTGGCAGACGGCCACCTGCTCCCGTAAGTGTTTATCTAGGCTGGCTTTTACTTAACAGCAACAGAAATCACTTTTCTGTGATGGGAAGTAAAATTACACCTTTGAGGAGGGTTTTTTCATTTGTTTAAAGATTTATTTATTTATACATACAAGAACTGGGGTACAGGCCAGAGGTGTGGGGGGTGAGAGGATTCACCAGAGACAGAGTGGGGAGCAGAACAAGTGGATCTACTGAAATACACTGTTGAGGGGAGCAGCGGGTGAGTCAGGAGATCTGCTGCACCATGTGGGTAACTTCCCTGGCTGGGGATCAAACTGGTGCTGCAGAGGTTGGGGATAGTTTGATAGTGGTGAGACTTTAGCCCCTGTGTCACCAGGGAGGCCCTTGAGGAGGGTTTTTTTTTTTTTTTAAAGATTTATTTATACAAGAACTGGGGTACAGGCCAGAGGTGTGGGAGGGTGAGAGGATTCACCAGAGACAGAGAGGGAAACAGAACAGGCAGGGTGACTATAATACTCTACTGAGGGGAGCAGCAGGCGGAACAGGAGAGGTCTGACATGCTATGTGGGTTGCTCCCTGGCTGGCAGGGATCGAACCGGCACTACAGAGGCTGTAGACAGCTTTACCTGCGGCGCTCAACTGCCTGTGCCACCAGGGAGGCCCCAGAGGTGGTTTTTTTTAACAAAAATGAGAAAAGAATTATTACAACTTGCTTTAAAACCTACCAGTTCTATAAACCTTTGATTTCTGTTGTACCATAGCATTCAATTCAATTAATATGTTAACCTGCATGTTAATATTTTGTTGCCTGTGTCTTTCCTCCCAATCCTGAGTATCTGTTACAAACGTGCTCACTTGGAGGGTCACTTACTGCTTTGCTCTGCTTCTAGCGCAGTTCCTATGTCTTGTTTCTCTTTCATGACTGATATTTTTGAGGAATCTATACCAGTTGCTTTGCAAGTTTCCCAGTTTAGATTTGTGTATTTGTTTCTGTGTGATGCGATTCAAGTAAATCAGTGTTTGACAAAAATATCACGTCACTGGTAGTATATTGGCTACAAATGCCGCTGTCATGCCAGCACATGGGAGTCATGTTAGCAGATTTGCTGTGGGTGATGCCTCTGTAGAAGATCCTATCCCTTGCTAGTATAATGTTTTATAAGGGCTCTAGGATGAGGATGCCCCTGACTGGGGGCTGTGTGGCTATGAGAGTGGCCTTTCTTGCAAATACAAATTGCAGCAGGTTTCTGCTGCCAAGGAAACTGCATGATACTACAGTGGTAGCCTTGCAAGGATTTGACACTATTTGCAACTCCTTTTGCTTGGGAGATAGTAGAAGTTCCTGATCTCTGTTAGCTCCATGCCAGCAGAATATATGACTTAACTTTCCACAATCTAGTCTCAGACAGGGAGAACATAAGTTCTTTCTACAGAACTTGTAGCGTTCACTATGTGGAAGAGAATTCTTATGCCAGTCTGATTTTCATTCCTTTGTGGGGTGTCTGGTTTTTTCCCCCTTTCTTTATCCTTAGCATTCAAATTTTTATAGTTTACTTGAAATCGCATTTCCAGTAAATCATGTAGAATTTTAAAATAGATTTTCATTATGTCTTTCAGTCTGGAGAGTATTTCTTTATGTACTGAAATAGTTTTTCAATGTCTAGATTATTTTTTCCTATTTAGTTCTTTTTGGAAATCTTAAAATGGTTGTTGGAATTCCTAGATATATCGCAATATCTCTTAAATTCATGTGTACTTTCCATTTCTTTGTTTGTTAAGATTCAGATATTTTCTCTTTTTTAATGGTTTTTATTTAGGAGTTTTTATCTATTTATAGTGAATTTCAGGGACCTTTGTAATTCTACCATAAATTTTGTAATTACTTTTTTAAGAAGGTAAGTTAAAGGTGTTTATTTAAAATTGCATTTCTACCACTGAGCTGGATAATGATGGACCACAGCTGGGGCTGTCGTCTGAGCATGTAAGTCAGTTCTTCATTTCTGCTTTTATGCTTCTTGGTTTTGATCTTTAGCTTCTGTTGTTTCGATTGTTTTACGGGCTTTCTTTTCTGCTTCTATAATTTGTTGTTCCATCAGCACTTGGCCTAGTCTGTTGGAGTTCTCATTTTCACAGATCTTTTCTTTCACTGGAAAACCTAAAAATGGATAAATAGAATTAGAAGTTTAATAGTTTATCATGCAGTCAATGTAAGAAAACCAGGATTCCTTCATGTAACATTTCCTTATTTGAAAAACATTGCATGTTTTTATGAACAGTTGAGATTTAATTTGTACATAATACTTTTTTTTTTAAATAATAAATTTTATATTTATATTCCCCCATACAATTGCAAACACCCCATTCTGACCCCAATCCTTCCCCTCCCACCCCCCACCCCCCAAAAAGTGTCTCTGGTTCATAGTTTTTTGTTGATTTTGATTTTCACTTTCTTATATTCATTTTCCTGGTCCCTTATTTAAGTTTTCTAGATTCCTGCTATGAGTGAGACCATCCGGTATTTTCCTTTTTCTTTTTGGCTTATTTCGCTGAGCATGATCCCTTCCAGCGCCATCCATGTTGCTGCAAATTGCATGTGTTTATCTTTTTTGAATGCTGAGTAATATTCCATGGTATATATTGTACATAATACTTTTAAAAGACATTGTATTAGTTATCTTTCTTTGAAAAGATGGTCCTAAAATGAAATTTTGCTTTTTCTTGGAGATATACATACACTACAAATATTACTAGATTTATCCTTGGTGATTGATACCCTATTAAGATATATTTTGCTTCATCATCTGATATTAAATAATTGGAATGTCAAGATAAAATAACTAATTTGATATATTCCACTGTCACTTATTTTATGGCAATCCAATATAGTTTTGAAGACAATTAGAAGAACCCTGTCAACAATACTGTGAACTGACTGCAATCATATATATAAAACAAATCTTTGTGTCAATTATTTATCTATAGTTTTAACTTCAGGCATTTGAGATCAGTGACTCAAAGAATATTATTCTATTTAAAATTTATTAAGGAAATATGGGAGATGGTTTTTCTTTCTGACATCCAATCTGAAATACTCACAACAAATCATATCGCAATTGATGAATTTTTCAGTCCAATAATCTGTTATCCCTGTACAGTCACTATATTGGGTTCCTGATTTTCACTGAGACACTTGTGCCATTATGTTTGCATAAATCTGAGGAACATTTTTGTTTCCAATAATATTGAAACTCTGAGCGGCAGTTAGCATTTACTACCACAGCAACGAAACTGAGTTTGCCAGAAGTCCATCATTCTTTTCCTCCTGGATTTTTCTAGCCTATGACTAGAAGACATCAGTCATGGTATTTTATATCTTTGTCACTATCTTCTACAAATAAACACTTCCCAAGACAAAGTGTGCTTTTTCTAGCAAAACATCACTTTAAAGTAATTAGTGATTAATCAGCCCAATATAGTATACTCTAATTGTGAATTAATAATTTAAAATACCAGATAACAACTGGCTTGAATATGATTGCAGACTACAATATGTTCATCCTTGGAAAAAGCATCATGGTATTCATAGACTTTGTTGAAGATCATAAGTTGTATATCAATTAAACAAAAGATTGAGCTTCAGGTGAGTCTCAGAGTGGTATTCAGCAGCACTGCAAGCCAGGGAGACCCTTTGCTGCTGGTTGCCTCTGAGGAGAGTGTCTGCTTCCTGTGTACCCAGTCACGAAGTGCTACTTCATTTTGCTTTGGGTGAAATTGTGTTTATTCATCACATGATACAAACTGCCAGTATCTTGGACTGTTGTGAGGATCATTGTTGATGAGAGGCTGACCAAAGGGGGTGCAGCTCCCATGGGGGATGGGTAGACACCACTTGCACTAGTTCACTAGCAGGTGCAGACATTTTCATTGAAGACCTTCATGTGGCATAGCATGAACAGCTCAACACCATACACAATGGCAAATACAGATCTGTCGTCTCCTGGATCAACTCCCCAAAGGTGCTAATACTGCAAAATTCTCAGTCTTTTTTAAATACCAACTTCATTTTTCTCCATGTCCGGTTATCATCTCCTTTCACTCTAAAGTCTATCCATTTATCTTTTTTTTTTTAAAAAGATTTATTTATTTATTTATACAAGCACTGGGTACAGTCAGAAGCGTGGGAGGGTGAGAGAATTCACCAGAGCCAGAGTGGGGAGCAGAGCAGGCAGAAGGACCGAAGTACACTGCTGAGGGGAGCAGCGGGCGGCAGGAGAGGTCTGCGCGCCATGTGGGACCCTCCTCCAGTGGCCGGGGAGCAGCCGGGGATCAAACCGGTGCTACAGAGGCCGCGGGCAGCTTCGCAACCCAGTGCTCAACCGCTGCGCCACTGGGGAGGCCCCATTTATCTTTTTTCATGATATATGGCTTGTTTAAGTGATGTTATTTCTCTTTTTTTTTTTTTTTTTTTTTTTTTGTGGGACCCTCACTGGCGGCCGGCCGGGGAACGAACCGGTGCTGCAGAGGCTGCGGGCAGCCTCGCAGCCCAGCGCTTAACCGCTGCGCCACCAGGGGAGGCCTGATTGTTATTTCTTAGGTATTATCTCAGGAAAAGTTTATATTAGCTATAGATGACCTTTGACTGTTTTATTTTCAAATCACATTTATTTGTCCATTAGTTTATAATTCTATTTGAGTATGAAGTCACATATTTGTTAATATTCCTGTTGTGCAGCTCAAAATTGTTCTGGACTGAGAACCTGTGGACAATGTTTGGAACAGCCTGGATGTGGCTGGTGCAATGACCCTAGTAATACAGGAAGAGGACACTGCATTGAAGGCTCTTCGCGGGGACCAGTGAAGCTTGTTGGAATGCATAATAATGAGATGGTTCTCGACACCAGTCTTTGTCCTAAAGAAAAGAACTATGAGTGGTCCTTTATCCAGTGTCCAGGTAATAAAAATGTGATTAAAAACAATTTTAATTTCTGCTTAAAACAAGAAGGGATTTTCTTTTCTTATAATAAATGTTTAGGAAAAAAGTGACAAGAGACTCAGATTTCAAAGATAAAAAATATTCTTCTCTATATCCATCTCTCTTATGCAGATGGTACCTATCTGGAATCATTAAGTAGATTAAACAGATGCATGGAATATAATAGCTAGATTGGCTTTCTTGTGAACTGTTAAGAGGAAAAAATATTGGCTTCCTGCCAGTTTTCTGTCCCATAGCATAGTGTTTTCTGGTTTATAATATTATAATGTCAGAATTAAAAGGGAACTCAAGAGGATTCAATCAAACTTCATGGCACTGTCCTCTAAAATACCTGTGATGGAGTCAGTTGGCCTCATTTTCAAAGCTACTATTGGTACGCACTATCATTAAATTTTGAAGGTATCAAAATGTTCAGGATTTTTCATAGGAAATCAGTTCTTACATTGGATAAAATTCACCTTATTGAAAAATTAATTTAGTCATATTTTTATTGAGTACCTACTATATGCTTAATGGTATTTAGGTGAAATACTACAATTAAAAACTTAGTCTAAAATAATTGTATTCATGGAGCTTATATTCTAATTGAAATTAATAAAATTAAATACACATCAAGCTACATGGTTATAAGTGTTATTGAATCAATAAAATAAGGGAGATAAGGTATGTAATTTAAATAGGGTGAGGAGAAAAGACCTCACTGAAAAAGAACAATGAGTAATCATCCTGCCCTGTTGGTTGGAGTGTAGACTGCTCCAGCCTCTATGAAAAACAGTATGGAGGTTTCTCAAAATATTAAAAATAGATTTAGCTTATGATCCAGCAGTTCCACTCCTAGGTATGTATCCAACAAATGCTAGAATACTAATTTGAAGGGATATAATACTCTGATACATATTTACAATAGCCAAGTTATGGAAACAACCTAAATGCCCAATTACAGAGGAGTGGTTTAGAAAATTGTGGTAGATATACACAATAGACTAGTCAGCTGTTTTAAAAAAAAGAACTTTGCCATTTGTGACAACATGAATAGTGCTGAGGAGATAATGCCGAGCAAAATAAGTTAAAAGAAGGACAAATACCAGATATTTCATTTATGTATGGAATACAGAAAAACAAATCAAAGGGTCAGACAAAATCAAACCAATAACAAGCCCTAGAATATATGACTATGGAATTGAAGCTACAAAATGAGGGAGAAAAAAACAAAGAATCGGGGTGCACGTGGACTGTGTTAAGGGCTGAGGATGCCTAGTGGGTGTGGAGTGATGATGTGCATCTGACGAGGAGTGACCCTCTGCTTTGAATCATATACGCGGTGTTACAGACCAATGTCAATGTCAATGCATACAACATATACCTGTCTACGAAAGGATAGGCTCATGGGGGTGTCTGTTAGGGAAAGAGCATGCGAAAGTAACAAACTGACTAGAATTCAGGGGGTGAGTTAATTTTTTTGGGATGTGAACCCAGGAAGAACAATTGAGGAAATAGAACTGCAAAGAGAAGAGAGAAAAAACAATAACCTGCACATTATTAAGCTGGATACCATGCTGGAAGTATGGGACAGACTCATGAGGGCTCTGAAGAACCTTGTGGAATTCTCCCCAGAGTTAGCTTACTGTGGGGTGGGGAGGGGGAGACATTTATGTTCTAACTTTCATCTTCTGTTGGTTGAGTGAGACACCTGGGCATATTCTTCTGAGCTGTGCTGGCACGTCTGATTAATGGCTTTCCCTTGCACCAGTGAAAATCCTGAAGCAGAAGAGTAGTGAGATCCTGCAGAACACGTATCACATGAGACACAGACAATGTGTTGCTTAGAAATCAGGTGGACAGAGGGAACGATATTAGGGGTGCCACAATATTAGCTACACAGACTTGGAAATACATGTATATCCTTTCTAAATCACACATGCTATTTTTGTTTCCTTATTGTGCTGGCTAGCAATGACAGTACAACATGGAATTGAAGTTGTGAGAGTGCATGTGGATCTTATTTGGAATGGAATGTATTGAGCCTTGTACTTTAAGTTGAAATGAGCTAGTAATTTTTAATAAATGTACTTATCCGCTTGAGAGATTTCCCTTCTGCTGCTAGTTAGTTGAGCTTTTTGTGTGTGTGTGTCATGCATATATGTGTAATTTTTTCAAAGCATGCATCTGTTGAGATGGTCATGTAATTATTTTTGGTTTGTTAATGTGATTCATTAACTACATTAGTTTTTAATTTCCAAACCAGTTCTGCATTCCTGGAATAATCTACACTTGTACATATGTTATTCTTTTCTATATTACTGGATTCAATTTGTTTAAATTTTAAAAGTGTTTTTGCATTTAAATTGATGAGAATATTGGTCTGTAGTTTTTTTTCCTTCGTGTTTGGTATGCCATCAGTGTAATGCTAGCCTCAAATTGAGAAATATTTCCTCCTCTTTTAATTTCTGGAAGAGTTTATGTAGAATTGGTATAATTTCTTCTTAATATATCTTTGGTGGCATTTACCTATGAAGACATTTGGGTGGGGAATTTTCTTTGGGAGAGGATTTCACTACAAATTGCATTTATTAGTAGCTAAGTGGCAATTTAGGCTCAATAGTTTTCTTAAGTGAGTTTGGTAGTTTTCGTCTTTCAGAGAATTTTACTTTCATTGTAAAAGTAAACATTGGTGTATTAAAGGACAAGCAACGAAATGTACTTAAAGTAAAACACAGAAAAAAGAATGACTGAAACAAAATGAACAGAACATCAATGAACTGTATGGCATGTGACAGAATAGTTCTATAACTGGATACTTGGAAGGAGGGGAGAGATATAGCCCAAATTTTTAATGGTCACAGTTTTCCCAAATTTGATAAAAACTGTAAATGCCCATAGGCAAGAATATGAACCTTTAGCACAAGAAACATGAGGAAATCTGCCTCCACACAAAAAGCCATAGAAAATGAGTCAATAAAGTAGATAAAATGAACTATTTAACAGTTTCCCAAAGAAGGCAAAGCAAGAGAAAAAGGAATACTGAACAGATGGGACAGTTAATTAATGGTAAAATGATAGATTGGAGCTTAGTCATTCAATAATCAATGCTAAATATGAAATGATATAATCACTCCAATAAAAACACAGATTTTCTCAGTAAAACGACTGAGATTTTCATATTGGACCCAACTATAGGCTGTCTATAGAAAACTTACTGAAATTATAAGGACATAACTATTGTAAAAGTAAAACAAACAGATTAACACTAGGCTAACGTAAGTCAAAGGCTATATTAGGATCAGCAAATAGAACAAAAAATACCACCGGGAATAGAGAGGGTCATTTCATGAAGAAAACTCAGAGAATTCATCAAGAAAACATAAGATTCCTGGGCTTCCCCTGGTGGCGCAGCGGTTGAGCGCTGGGCTGCGAAGCTGCTTGCAGTCTCTTCAGCGCCTGTTCCATCCCCGGCCTCAGGGCCAGGGTCCCACATGGCGCGCAGACCTCTCCTGTCTCGCCCGCTGCTCCCCTCAGCAGTGTACTTCTTTGTCAGTCTGCCTGTTCTGTTCCCTGCTCTGGCTCTGGTGAATTCTCTCACCCTCCCGCACTTCTGACTGTACCCAGTGCTTACATAAATAAATAAAATAAAATCTTAAAATATAAAAAAAATTAAATAATAAAAAAAAACATAAGATTCCTAAATATTTTCACCTAATAACAAACTTTCAGAAATCGTGAAGATTTAATGATATATATGGCAGGGATTCTTTATTAATTCCCAGATATATTGTCAATTTCCTCTTTATACTTTGATATATGTTGCTGGCATCATACCAGCGGCTTTATTTTGGAGAGTGTATTTTTTTAGTACAGCATCACAAATTACCACAAAGCTAGGTATATAAAAAAAAAAAACCCGTAAGTGGATATATGTTAGATGCTGGAGCATAGCCTGCTTGGTTTCTCTGCTCTAGGTTTTATTTATTTATTTTTAAGATTTATTTTTGCACATAAGAGCTGGGGTGTGGCCAGAGGTGTGGCAGGGTGAGGGGAGGTGAGAGGATTCACCAGAGACAGAGTGGGGAGCAGAACAGGCAGACCCACTGAATACACTGCTGAGAGGAGCAGCGGGTGAGACAGGAGAGGTCTGCTTCACCACATGTGGTTCAGCAAATTGGCTGGGATCAAAATGGGGCCATTGAGGTGATAGTGCTGAGTCTTAACCCCTATGCTACCAGGGAGGCCTCCTGCTCTAGGTTTTAAAGGTCGAAATCCAAGAGTCAGTCAGGCTGTTTTTGTTTGGGAGCTCTGGGGAAGAATCTGCCTCTCAGCAATTTATGTTGTTGGTGGAGCTCAATTTCTTGCACTTATAGGCCTGAAGTGCCTATTTTCTTACTGACTGTCAGCCAGTGACCACTTCAGTTCCTGAAAGATTCTGTCTTTCTCTCCCACAAGCCCCTCTCCATCTTCAAAACTGGCAATGTAGAGCTTTGAAAACTCAAATGGAATCTCTTGCTTAGAACCACTTTACTTAAGTACGTATCTGTTACATGTTAAGGATCATCTGATTAGGCCCATGCAGAATAATCTCCCTTACTTCAGTTCAGCTGTGCCATCTGTCCTGACCTAATCATCAGGGCGCCCATCCCATTATCTATGCAGATTCCTGTCACTCTCACAGGGAGGCCATGAGTGTTGATTAAATAATGATTACAATAACCTAGAGTCACTGACCCTTAAAGCTAACCATCACACGATACAATTTACCCATTTAAAGTGTAAAATTCAGAGTTGTGCAACTACCACAACAGTTTTAAAAAACCACCTTATCCTTATTCACAATCATTGCCTATTAAATCCCCAGCTACCTATCTCTGCCCTACGCAAGAGCTTTTATCTGATATTTCTATAGATTGTCTACTTGGGGCATTTTATTTAAATTGAATTATGTAGTATGTAATCTTTTGTGACTTCTT